ATGAGTCAGAGTTGATTCAACAGCAACTGGTTTTGGTGTTTTTTGTTTTTTTTTTTAAATTTTTTATTATTCTGCTGCCCCACTTCTCTATTCTTAAGCTCTCCTACTTTACCAGTCTTATGTCCTGATCTCCCCACCATACCTGCCAAGAATGCTAAGGTGGATTTCTGCCACCCATCACTCCCATAAAACCCCGCCTGCTTGGTGTTAGCATGTCAGGAAATCTGAATAGTCATTTTTCCAACTTTCATATTTGAGATATTTAAGAAGTATGCATATCTAGATATTTAAACTTTACACTAAGGATATCAAATTTTTAGAAAAAAATAGAAAATGCATACATGTAAAATACCCTTTGGGGCAGCTGACCTCACATTGGTCCCTCTTGCTTTTAGTGGTGGTGCCTGGGGCCATGTCTGTGCTAAGAGAACCCATTCCCCAACCAAAGCAGAAAGAACTCAGCTTGGGTCAGGTGTTGCCCTGGGGCCAATCAGCTGTGGCAGGGGCGGAGCCATGTAACAACCTAGTAGGTCTCTTGAGTAATGTCTTAGTTGTCTAGTGCTGCTGTAACAGAAATACCTCAGACAGTGGCTTTAACAAACAGAAATTTATTTTCTCACAGTTTAGGAAGCTAGACTTCTGAATTTAGGGTGCTGGCTCTAGGGGCAGGCTTTCTCTCTCTGTCGGCTCTGGAGGAAGGTCTTTGTCTCTTCTGAGCTTCTGCTCTTGGGCAATCTTCATGTGCTTGGCATCTCTCTTCCCCCATCTGTGCTTCTTTTCTTCCTTGCTTAAGCTGCTCCTTTTATATCTCAAAAGAGATTGACTGAAGATACACCTTACACTAATACTGTCTCATTAACATTACAAAGAAAATCCATTCCCAAATGGGACAATAACTCCAGGTATAGGGGTTACGATTTACAATGCATATTTTTGGGGGACACAATTCAATCCATAACAGGTACCTATCATTGGAGGAAGTGGTTTCTAGCCTTGGGGGGCTAGGCTGATAATAACTTAGCAGTATACATAAAGACTGGAGCCCTGGTGGTGCAGTGGTTAAGAGCTCGGCTGCTAACCAAAAGATCTGCAGTTTGAATCCACCAGCCACTCCTTGGAAACCCAATGGGGCAGTTCTACTCCGTCCTATAGGGTCCCTAGGAGTCGGAATCAACTCGACGGCAACGGGTATACATAAAAATGAGCACAATTACCTAAGTAAATAAACCACACAATGTTCCATCACCAACCAGACAATGATCAGCAATATTTTGTGTAGAGTATTTCCTGATCTTTCCCCGTGCAGATAAATGGAATTTTGATTAACGTAGTCTGCTTTGAGACAGGCTTTCCCCCCCGCCACACATAACCTGAAAATTCAGACTCTTATTCAAGGTTTATCACAGGATTGGCGTTCAGTTTGAGGGTGAGTGTGTAAACAGTGGTTTGAATCTCTTAGCAGTAGTTCACTACTACCACCTTCAATTCCAGTCCCACCTTTCTGTTCTCTCAGGAATCCCTCTTCTCAGACCCTCTACTGATCTTGGGTGCCACGCCTTCAACGCAGAGCCAAAGCAAAGGGGTTAATACATGCAAATATTCATCCACAGCACTCACCCAGGATCGAACCCCTTGGTAGATAACTAGTCCTTCTTTCCTGCTTCCCTTCCTCTCATCCTCTTTTTCTCCTTTCCTTCCCTCCCTCAGGCTCATGTTTCTTCTTAGAGGAAGAGAACCAGGAACAAGTAGCAGCCAGTGGAACCTGGGTTGGGCAGACCCCTTCCCACCCTGAGCCCCATTCTCCCCCAGTGCACACCGGTCCTCTCGTACAGCCCTTCCTGCAACCTCCTGGCACTGTGACCAGGAACTCCTGCACAGCCACAGATGAGAGTTGGCAGGGTCTCCATGTTGCCAGAGCCCTGGAGACATTCCCTTGACTGCTTGTGCTCATTAAACTCTAGACTGAAGAAGAATGGACACTTGAGTGCTGTGGACCTTGTTCTAAATCACCCTGTCTCCTTCCGGGCCAGGCTGTTATCTCTTTGGGCCCTTCACACGCTTCCTTGCCCAGCCTCCTGCCCAGACTTTACCAACCTGCCTTGGAAAGGAGTGGGAGTTCGAGAGCAGTGAGCTTTTCAATGGAGAGGATGCGGTTTTCAGGATGTATTTCAGCAAATTTGGTGGCGCTGGGATCTAAAATTCTCAGTAGTGTGATAAAAAATTCTGGTCCTGGCTTCAGGGACCTTCCTCGTAACTCTGCCTCTGACCCCATCTCACAGGGGACATGAGCTGAGTTTCTTGCTCTCCTGGCCTCAGGTTTTCTGAGTAGAAGGGGTCAGCCCATTCGGGGCTTCATGGCTCCGACACTGTGTCCCTTCCCTCTACCTCTCTTAGCCACTACCATATCAGCCTCTATCACCAAGAGAAGTTTGGTCTCTGCAGAAAGGGATGTCCCATGGATGAATCTGAGGGGTTTCTAAGGTGACCCAACTTTTTCTTTTCTAGGTTTTCCTGACTTTGTTCCCTTTTGCTAAGTCTGGGCACTTTGGGGATAGGTGCAATGGGTAAGAGTTTCATTTCAGCCATGGACTCAATAGACCTGGGTTTGAATCCTGGCTGAGTGTTCTTGATCAAGTTACAGAATCTCTCTAGGCCTCAGTATTCTCACCTAAACATGGAGTTAACAGTATTGATCACATTGGATTATTTTGAAAGTTAAGTGCAATAAAGCAAAATCAAGTCATGACACGGTACCTGACATGTAGTAAACTGGCAATGAATGCTAATTATTATTATTGTTATCACTGTTGTTATTTGTCAACTCCTTCTGTCACTACAGGGAGAGAGAGCTCCCCAGAGTCTGAGTGGGCAGCTTGGCCTGGCCTTGCAGGAGATAGGCTGCCCTGACTTGAGCCATCTGTACGCACAGCCGGGGAGGGGACACCCAGCCCGGAGACCTCCACCCCGGGCACGTCCTCCAGCATGCATTGTGCCAGGAGCCCAGAGATCACCAGTGTACCCACTCATGGGTTGTTGAGAGCATTATAAAAGAGGTCCCGCCTGCAGAGCGCTTGGCCTGCCCACAGCCCTCAGTGACTTGTGGTTGACAGTACTCTTGATATTGCTATTAGTTTTAGCCATGTCTAGGGTGGTACTACAGCCTAATGAAGGACAAGAATGAGACAGACTTGGCGAAGGATCATCTATGGCCCTCAGGCAAGTGGCTCAATCCATGTGACCCAGAGTTTCCTCATCTGTATAATAGGACTGGTCCCGCCTCCTTCACTGGGTTGCCAGGAGGATTATGCTCATAGCACACATATAAGGATTGCATGAGCTCTAAAGACTGGGTTATGCCTAGTGCATATTTTGTGCTCAGTATTGACGAGTTCCTTCCACAAACACACCCTACCCACACAGGCTCCCCTCGTTGGGTTGGGATCTTTGTCCTGCCTCTATACCAATGTGGAGGAGGGAAAGGGCCTTGATGCCCACTCCCTCTCCACCTCTGTCCCAAAGGCCTTCAGCTCCAGGCTGCCCTTGGCCCACGTTCAGTCATCCAGGCAGCGGAGAGACAGGAAAATCACAAGGCAGGGCCACACACTTCTGCACAAAAGTGTTTTAATTAAAAAGAAAATAAGAAAACAAAAACCACGTCCCAGGGTGTACTGTGATAAAACATCCCAGGTATACAAAGGACATACAAAAAAATGAGAAAAAAGACTGTCAGGAGCTGTACTTCTGCCTCCCAGCACTGACCCGAGGGCACCGGCTGCAGGCCCCCCCTTTGAAGCCGTTGTTTTCTCAGACAAGCATGCACCTCTCCTGGCCATAAAAAAGGAAGCGCTTATTCAGCCTTGTTTCTCTTGGAAGACTCGGTCACCGCACGCTCACTGGTCCGTGACACACACACAGGAAGCTAGGCATTAAAAGATTTTATAGGTGGGCAGGGCCGGGGTGGGGTGGGGGTCTGGGGGTGCACATCATTCCTCTCACTGACCCCTGACTATCCCCAAGTTCTCTAAGGGGCTGGGACCTGAGAGGCAGGGGAAGTGACGTCCCTCCATGGGGAGAGGCTGGATGCATTGTCTTGTAGTGACCCTGGGGTTGGACTTCTTGATTTAGTCCCTGGGTGGTGCAAATCGTTAACACGATTGCCTGCTAACCAAAAGGTTGGAGGCTTTAGTTTACCCAGAGGTACCTCTGAAGAAAGGCAGGCAATCTACTTCCAAAAATTCAGCCACTGAAAACTCTATGGAGCACAATTTTGCTCGGTTACACATGGGGTTCCCATGAATTGGAATCAACTCCATGGCAACTGGAGGGGGGCTTCCCTCCTAGAGTAGTATCAAAAGGAGTATCTTCAGGTTAGTTGTAGGCACCAAAATAAGGACTTGGTCCAGGACAAGATATGCCTGGGCCAGTACTAAGTTTTGATGGACAGCCAGAAGGAAGGCAGAGATGAGACTGCTTTACTCGCCATTACCAGCTTCTCACACTGACCATCTTTAGCTGCCAAACCAATTCCTCCTTCCCTGCTCCTTTGGCCCCAACTATGAAGATCACTAGACTTGGATTTGACTCCTGACTCTGCCATTTACTAGTTTGTATGACCCTGGGAAAGTTCCTTAATTTTCTCGAGCCTTAGTTTCCTTATCTCTTAAATGGGAAAGTTCATATTAACTCACAGGGTGACTGTAAGTAGTAAGTGCGATCACGTCTTTAAGGAACCTAACACAGCACCCAGCACACAGAAAGTGCTCAACAAATAGCCGCCATTATCACTATTGTCCAGGCTCCAGTGTTTTCATTGCAAGTTCAGTGCATCCGTGTATGGACATATGTGTGATAAACAAAAGGCTTAAACAGTGTTCTAGAAAAAGCACGAACTCCTCTGAGCCTCTCATGTTAAGTCCAGGCAGTCAGAAACCTTAGACCGTGGCGTGGCTGGCATGGAGGACCTCAACTCAACTCCATCTGCCTCAGGAGCTGCTCTGCATCTAGACCTCAGTGCCCTCCCTGGGGTAGAGGACGCTGTTGGTGTTGAGGCTGTTGTAGAAGTGAGGGTTGAACTGGTTGAGGACAGAGCCTCCATAGCTAAGAGCATTGGTGGGCATGGGGTTGGCCCATTCGCCCCCACCCCCATGGCTGCTGAGGTTGGTGAGTGGGGTGTAGGAGTTGAAGCTCAGCAAGTTCTGCCCCATCTTGTCGGTGGGCTCAGTGCTCAGTCCTGGCGATGTCGCAGAGCGGCTCATGGGGCTTGACCCATTCACGTAGGCTGTCATGGTGGAGAGGAAGTTATTGAGGCATGGGGTGCCCGATTGGGGAGGGGAAGACCGCTTCTCCGGGGAGCTGGTGGTGCTTGGTGAGGTGCTGTCCAAGATTTCCTGGGGCTCCATGGTCTTGGGGCTGCCCGCCAAGAGACTGTTCTCAGTTTTCTCTGAGGCCAAGGAGCCTGTGCTGGAGGAAACATCCGATTTTCTCTTCCTCTTCCTGCGGAAATTTCCATTGTCAAACATCTTCTCACAGTTGGGGTCCAACGTCCAGTAATTCCCTTTGCCTGATACAAAAATGGGAAGAGGTTAAGTACAGAGATGGAGAAAGTGCTTTGCTTCTGTTCTTCCTTATTGTCATAGTCTAAAAGCAAAGGTAGCAAAGAGAGAGAAAGAGAGAGAGAAAAGCAGGCACTGAGAAAACGAATTCCACAAACCAGCCAGCCAACCACCTCTGTCTTTATTTAAGCACCCACCTTGTAAAAAGGCACTCAGGAACCACAAAGAAAGAAAGGCACAGTCTCTGCCATCAAGGAGTTGATAGTGTAGGGTTCTTTAAGAAGGTCAAAGTACTTGGGGACTGTTGAGGAGTGGGCTTCCTTTGCTGAAGCTAAAGAAACCTCTGGAGAAAAATCCAGGACTTCCTGAAAGTCCTGGAGATGGAGTCGGAAGATGGACTTGAGTCCCAGTTTTGCTCCTGACTGAGGGATTTTGGGCGAGTCTCAGTATCCTTGTCTGAAAAATGGGCACATTATACCTTTCTCTCCTTTATCTGACTCACTATGAGAAATGACAGATGCTAAGAGTGTTTGAGGGCTTTGTAACTGTGAGGTACCATCCTGCAGTAAGTGCTGAACTCTGCCTGCGCCTGTCTCGTAGCCTGAGGGTGAGGGCAGACTTTGCATGGGACGCTTGCTGTCTTCTGTGGGACAAATAGTTCTATGCTTGCTGACCTCAGAGGGGGTAGAGGCAAGGCTCCTCTGAGCCATACCCTGACCTCCCTCAGTGGAACAAGAATGGACTTTAATTCTGGGAAATGAATATATGAGTATTTGACATGTTATGCTCTGTAGTTTAGAAATTCATCATTTTAAAAAAAAGTCACAATCTTTGGTGTTAGAGAGACCTCTGTTCAAACTGAAGCTCAGTCACTTCATTCTGTGTCGACTTAGGCAGGCTGTTTCACCCCTGAGTGTTATTTTCCTTCTCTGTAAAATGGGGTTATTAAGAGCACCCCTGCAGGGGTGTTGTGAGGATTAAAGGAGACTATGTAAGTAGGGCAGGCAGCAGGGTGCAGGCCCTTGGTGGTTGTTCAACAAATGCCAGATACTGTTCCTGGTAGGCCTGGGGCACACTGGGCTTTGTTTTGCTCCTCACTCATTCACCAAGACCAAGGACTTTCTCTGTAATTAGTGCATTCAGTTGAGCTCTTGTTAGCACAAACCCCTTATATGCATTATATCATCACCCCCCACAAGCTGCAACCATCCCTATTTTTCAGATGAGGAAACTGAGGCTGAGAGATAGAGCTGCCCGAGGTCACTAACGGGTCAGTGGCATGCCAGGATTGAAACCCGAGTCTGCCTCCTCCTCCAGCCCAAGATCTCTTTCCCTGCTGAGGTCCTGCTAGCTCTGTCTCCTAGCAGCCCCCAGTCATGAGGGGGCACAACCACATCCAGAACTTCCTACCATGGGGTGCTGGGGAGGAAGGAAGGGAGCCTTCCATCAGGGCATAGGCGGCTTGCTGAAGCAGTGGCCACTCTGCGGGGTGGGCCCCTTACCCGGGTCGTCTTCGTCGCGGGGCACTTTCTTGAAACAGTCGTTGAGTGACAGATTGTGGCGGATGGAGTTCTGCCAGCCGGCCTTGCTCTTGTTGTAGAAGGGGAAGTTGTCAGCCACGTACTGGTAGATCTGGCTGAGGGTGAGGCGTTTGTCGGGTGCCCCGTGGATGGCCATGGCAATGAGAGCTGAGTAAGAGTAGGGGGGCCGCACCAGCTTCATCAGCTCCTCCTGCGAGGGGAGGGGCAGCCAGCCCAGGTCGCTGCCCCCCAGGCCGGCCATGCTGGGCAGCAGCGGCCTCTGCATGCCGTAGGCCTGAGGCAGGAAGGGGCTGCCGTTGGGGCCAGGCAGGTAGGGCGGCGGTGTCATTGCAGGTCCGTTGAGCCACAGGTAGGGGTTGGGGGTGGCCCCGTACTCGCCGCCCCCTTCGAAGGATGGGGGCCGCTGAGGGCTGGGCACATTCTGTGGGTGGAAGAAGTTGTCATAGTAAAGATTCATCTCAGGAGGCTCCTGGCCGATGCTGGGGAACTGGGGGCTGCAGCGTGGGGAGGAGGGTGAAGGAAGGTCGAAGGAGCTCATGCTGGGGCTGGTGCAGCTGGAGCCACCTGCCTGGCACCTGCACATCCACGGGAGCTGTCCCTGACAGGTGCTCCCGGCCTCCCTACTTAAACCCCCGCAGGCTTGGCCTGGGTGGCCCCACCCAGGGGCGGGAAGCCACCTGCTTGCAGACCGCCAAGGGCCCGCCCCTCCTTCCTCCAAGGCCTGGCCTGGGCTGACCGGGAGGGGACATCCCCGCCAGCATCGGCTCCCCACTAATGACTTGCCGAGACCTGCTATTACAGCTGATATTAAAAACGACAAGGGCACCCTCCTTCCTTTTATCTCCTAATTCCTCTCCTCATTTTCTTTCCCCTCACCTTCACATTCACCCCTCTTTTTCCTCCTCCATTCTGTCTCTTCCCCCTACCCTCTGTGTCTCTCTCTCAAACCATTTCTCTCCTCACATTTTTTCTAACTTTTCCGTGGAATCTCTATCCCTTTCATCTTCCCATTTTTCTTTCCTTCTTTCCTCCCTCCTTCCTTCCCTGTCTCCCTCCCTCCCTTCCTTCCTTCCCTCCCTGCATCTCCTGACTGTGTTTGTGTTTCTATGCGCTGCTCTGGCCACACCTCATGCCTTCTCTCACTTCCTCTCTCTGTGTGCATCTTTTCTAGCTTTTTCTACTTCTCCTTCTGCCTCTCTCTTACTTTCTCACTTGCTCTGTCTTCCTCTGCTTCTTTTTCACTGTCTCTCTCTGCCCCCTTCACCCTCTTGTGTTGTGTCCGTGGCTTGTCTCTCTCCCTATTTCCTCTGCCTCCTTCTTTTCTCCCGCCCCACCCACCATTCTCTCATCAGCTCCTGCTACCCCGTCTTGGGAGACACTGCATCAGAAGCCTGTTTCTTGGTCTTTTAAGTGAAGGCTCATCCTCTGGACACTAAGAGGCTGAAAATAAAATCCGTTCAGTGGCGTTCAAGCTCTCCACATCTAATCCCAACACAGATGGAGAGGAGAACAGAGAGACAGGCAGGGGATATTCCCTGACAGGTGCCCCCTCTAGCTGGAGCAAAGAGAGCCGGCCTGGAGGATCAGAAGGGAACAGGGAGGAAGCTGGCCTCAGGCTGGGTTTCAAAAAGGCAGCCAGTGATATGCCCCTACCTCACACACACGCACACACACATTCACGCACGCGCACACGTGGACGTACATAAACACACACACATACACATATGCACACATGCTCAGCGCACGTGTACACACACATGTACTCACACACATGTGCACATGCAGGTGCGCACACACGTGCACATACATAAACACACACATGCTCAGCGCACGTGTACACACACATGTACTCACACATGTGCACATGCAGGCGCGCGCACACACACACACACACACACACACACGTGCTGCAGAGAGGAGCTGTGGTTTCACTGGCCTGGGGATTCACTGAGAGCAGGCTGTTAAAAATGACAACAGAAGGAAGAGAAGGGAATGGGCTTCAGGGAACAAGAGAGAACTTGCAGAACCCAAGTTTCTTTCTGGCTTTAGGGACAAAGCAGGCTCCCCAGCACCTCGTCTGATCCAGAGTCCCTTCATGTTTCAATGTGCAGAGGCTTTGGGCACCGAGGGAGCCAGGCCAGGTGGAGGACCCCCGGCTGCCATCCCCCTCTCCCGTCTCTCCCTAAGGCTCCAGAGGCAGGAGCCTCCGCCCCAAACTGTTCTCCAAGCTGCCATCCCTCCATCTGTAGCTTTGAGGTGACTCGTCCTGTCCTCCCCTTCACCCTCGGGCAGGCCTTCAGCTTGGGGAGTGAGTGGTGGCCTCCCTGCTCAGAGGGCAGGCAGCTGTCTCCTGACCAGGTTCTAGTGACAACCCCGTACTTCTCTCTGGGGTCAGGCACATTGGGGAAACACGGAGGCCAGCCTCTCTGGTCACCACCTCCCCCCTGCCTCTGCTTGCTTCTCCCCTTTCAGCTTCCTCTCACTTCCTCCAGATGGAAGGCAGGAATTCCTCTGAGGCAGAGGAAGGAGGTAACACACTGACCGTCTGAAGAGAGTGCCTGTCAGGGAATTCTCCTCTCTCCTTTACAACCATGTCAGGAATAGATGTGGAAAAAATGAACACCACTGAACAGATTTCATTTTCAGCTTATTGGTACCTGGAAGATGAGCTCCAGGTAATTGGATGGAAGGGGTCTTCTCAGACACTGAGAAACAATCTGTCCCCACCATGGGACGGTAAGTGAAGGGTGATTCTGCTGAAGGCTCTGATTGCTCAGGTGAGACCTAGGATACGCACATTTTTCACTTTTTTTCGGGAGAGTGAAATATAAGAGGTCAAGTTTTTGCTTAGTTTCTCCACCTGGAGGCCTCGCTTGCTGAGGGCTGGGCCTCTGGCTTTTGAAAGAACAGTCACGTTGGAGCTACCAAGAGAGTCCCAAAGTCTTACAATTAACCTGGTAATTCACTTCTCAAAATTTATCCTACAGAGTTAAACAGAGCAGAGAAATAGTCCAACACAGTATTATTTATAGTCATAATAAACTATTACTCATCTAAATATCCAGCAATATGGGATTGGTGAAATAAATGTTGTATCATTCATTGTATCAGATGAAATATTATGAAGCTATGAAAAATAGATTGTAGAAGAGTATTTAGTAATATTGAAACTTGTTTATGTTTAAATAATGTACTTTGGAAAAACAAGCTGCCAAATAATATGATTCTTTTCATAAAAGTTCATATATTCATACTTAATATGAGTGTGGTGCAATGGACTGCTTTTATATGGACTTTCTAGCCATGGTCTTGTAACTCCCACAAAATGATTGGATGGGCCTATGCAAATAAGGTGCTTGTGGCCCATCAAGGGGATTGGACAGCTTGCTAATAATGAAAATAAGGCACATGACACACTTGTGGGGTTGGGGCCATGCAAATAGGGTATATTGAACCCTAATGAGGGGATCAGTCAGTTTTGCCATCCTGCTAGGCTTAAAATGAGCCATTCCGGAGGACTTCACTACCACCAAGAAGAAGAGACGGGAGCAGAGCGCATCCTTTGGACCCAGGGTCCGTCCCTGCACTGAGAACCTCCTAGACCCAGGAGACAGAGAGAGCTGTAACCTCAGAGATGGTGCAAGATGGCCAAAAGCAGCGACAGAGAAACCGGGAGACAGCACAGAGCAAGACAGCTGAGTGCCTTGGGGCAAGAGGCTTACTGATGGAGTGAGGTGCCTCTGAGCACTTATCAGTCGAGCTAAAGAGCTTTGTAACACTTGCCTGAGCAGGGCAGAGGCTGGGCCAACCTAAGAGGCCCAAAGGGCAGAGGGCCATGGAGAGGCCTATCAGTGGGCACGGCCAAGAAGCTGTCCTGACTGAAGAACAGTATCCTGAGTCATTCCTGATCCTGAATGTAACCTGTTACTTCTCTGATAAACCCCATAATTGTGAGTATTGTCTGTGAGTTCTGTGTGGCCATTGCCAATGAATTATGAAATCCAGCAGAGGAGCAGAGAGTGTTGTGGGAAGGATGACTGGTGTCAGAATTGGTAAAAAGTTTGGAAAGGAGGTATGCCTGACCTCCACTTCATGGGACCAGCCTTAGGCTGATGCTGCTGATGGTGATTCTCCCCTCTCGTGAAGTTAGATGAGGTCAGACATTCCCACACCATTTTTATAATAAGCAATCCGGCAAGATAAATATCAAACTGTCAATTATTACTTCTGGATGGAGAGTTGAATGTGATTTTTTGTTCCTGTTTTTTCTGTAGTTTCTGATTTAAATGATTAGAGAAAAGGTGAGCACACAGGTGACTTGTTTTGGGGGTTAAATGTGAAAGGTGAACAAGAGGCAAATCTGGTGGAGACGTAGCCAACACAGGCTCTGAGATCAGGCAGACCCAGATTCAAATCTCAGCCTTGCCACTTAGTAACTATGCTCACCTTGACAAGTCATTTCACTTTTTCCAGCCTCATTTTCTCAGGTGAAGATGGGACAGTGCCAATGCTTAACTCATGTGGTTGATGTGGCTATTTAGTGAGGTAATTAATGCAATCTACGTAAATCCCTTTACATGGTGAATAGAGGTACACTCTGAATATTAGTTATCACTAAAACCAAAAACCAAACCTGTTGAGTTGATTCTGACTCATAGTGCCCCAGTAGGATAGAGTAGAACTGCCCCATAGGGTTTCCAAGGGGAAAATCTTCACGGATGCAGACTGCCACATCTTTCTTCTATGAAGTGGCTGGTGGGTTCGATCCACTGACCTTTCGGTTAGTAGCTGAGCGCTTAACCACTACGTGCCATGAGGGCTCCTTGTTAGTTATTAACAGTCAATATAAATTTAATACGTATCATCTACCACAGCTGAGTTTGTTACCTTGAAAGTTATTTGTTCCCTTATGACAGTCTACGGGCTGGGGAGGAATGTAACAGGGCTACAATGAAAGACGAGGGAGGAGTGCTCAGTGCAATGCTGATTGTACAGCCAGACCCTGCATTCACAGATGATGTTCAGAGACAGCTCAGAGTCAAACGCCAAGTTCACAGCTCAGCAGGGTCAGGATGCAGTCTCCTGCCCCCTCTGCCCCCTTTGCCTATCCATGGCCATCTCTTTCCTTAGAGGTGTTTTCTGAGGACCCCTCATCTGAGCTTTCCTTGTCTCACCTAGGCCCTGTTTTTTCTTCCCCTGGAGATCAGAGAACACCTTAGGAGCAGGGCTTCAAACCACATTTCCACCTCAGATATACTGAATCAGAATCCACAATTTTAACAAGATCCCCAGGGGATTCTTATGTATAATAAATTTTGAGAACGACTGCTCTACTAGTGGTTCTCAGAACTGGTCCCTAATGAGCAGCATTAGCATCACCAGGGAGCTTGTTAGAAATGCAAATTCTCAGCAGGGGTTTGAACTGGAGCTAACTTGTTCAAAGCCTTGCTTAGGAGGCCTGACCACATCGCACCCCTGGGACATGCTGATACCCAGAGTTCAGTGGTGGGGACACACTTTTCACACCCTCCTCCAGGG